GCAAACCTCGTATAGTATGCTAAGGATGCTCATATCCTAATGAAATGTTAAGCTCAACTCAAAAAGACTACTTTCCTGGTTGAGTGCGTTGATTTTTCTCGCAAATGATGGTTCCTGGCTGTGACCATATTTGTTACATGAAGGATAAAAGCCTAGCACCTATTCATAGGGATCACATGACTGTGAGCCAAGGTTTTATGCTCCCCATCCAACGGCAACAACTCACAGGTAATCCAACGGCAACAACTCACAGGTAATCCAACCGCGGTTTCCGGAGAGGTAAATTTACGAAGGCCTCCCATTTTCCTTTCTAAATGAAGTGAAAGGCAAGTCCAGACTATGTAATGCATACGGCCACAAACCTGGCGTTATGCAAAGAGTGATGACGGCCATATCCACCACCTTTGTTGGGACGGAGACAGAAATCATGTTTTATTTTGAGGCACCTTCACCACTTCGACATGCATTGTGTCAAGAGAATCTTAATTGCGGAGAGAAGTGGACCATCTTTGTTTAAAGTTAAGTGATAGATCTGAATACATTTTTTACCTCGGCTTCTTTATCAATCCCCATATCATGCTTAGATAAATAAACTTAAAATGATGATAAGTTTTACCAAGGCTGCATGTAAATATGTAAACAATTTTTGATGGTGAACTTGGTAATGGCAAGAATTGCATCAAATTCTTGTCAAAGTTTTATTTTGTGTCGCGTATTGAATTGCTCAAACGCACGAGATTGTTGGGTTATTATTATTGATGTGCTCTGTAAGCATAATGCTAGGACTTAAGGAGACACTTAGGCAAACCATGAGACACCTTAGGCCACTTAAGGTGATGGAGGGTCTCACATGCTGAAATCTAGATCCTAGCACGCTATCCAGTAACACAGCCTTGCTTCCCAAAGGGCCCCTTCCGGGCTAGGCTAAAGTTTAGATTAGGCCTGGGTCCCATCAGCTTTATTGAGCAGCTCAATCGTCAGACTCAAAGTGACCCTAGTCCCTATATAAAATCTACTGAAAGTTTCGGAACCTATAAGCTAAGGAAATAGTAATGCGTATGAATGTGATGGCAAATAGAAATTTGTCGTATCCAAATAAGTCCCTAAGGGAATATGAATTGAAATACGTCTGGCTTGCCTTGAAAGTCGCATCTGTCCTGCGATCCACTGGTATCAGTGACTTTGTGGTGAGTTAGTAATTGTGTCACATGATGTGCACAACACGGTTTTAAATCCCTTTGGGTGCTGGTGAGACCCAGGCACAGTCTATCCTGGATGAAGAAGCCATTTACGTAGCTAGGCTAAGTGTTACCTTCAACTCTATATAGGATGTATTCACACAATTTCAGTTATGTAATAAGGGGACTGGTGTTTGAATTTTCCCACAATGATATAAATAGACCTCACGCTTCCATTGAATTTCACTTAGCCTTACTTTCCCAGAAGCTACTCGCAATCAGGGCGGACTGTAGTTTCGACCTCGCCCAGGTCCCATCAGCACCCTCAGCTGGACACAAACCACGACAGTGCAGCGTGTAATATCGGCATGTTAACCTCTAAGCCAAATTACCACGAGTGCCCTTGAATGATAGGAAATATGTGAGTTTCAGTGAAGGCAAGGCATTTCCTCATATCACATTCTGTAGTAGGGTTGCCGATAAAGCAAAATTGTATTAGCTATAGCAATAAAGTAAAGGGTACTAGTGGCAATATGGCTCAGTGGTTAATGTGTTGAGATTACACGTTGGATTGCCATGATTCGACCTAGGCGAGGTCGAATCTGCAGTTCACCCCGGATGAGAATAGCCCTTGTGAAAGCAAAGCTAGGTGAAATCCATTGGGAACGTAAGGCCTACTTATATCACTGTAGGAAAATTGAACCACCAGTCCTCTCATCACTTCACTTTGATAGTGGACCTAGGGTGTTTGCCTACGGATCCATATACAGCTGTCTCGTACGAGCTACTATTGTTGCAAGAAAGAAAAATAGAGATGAGCATATATTACGAAAAAAATACTTATATACACCAACATATTGAAGCACATTTTGGTGAATGAGTTAAGGAAGGCGCGTAAGAACAAATGGAAAGTAAAAAATATTTCCTTTGTCTGAGTTAGCGGGGCATCAATTTTGCCACAATCAGAAAGTTTGGGGCAATTGAAATCATGCTGTGACAAAATTTGAAAGCCTATTCGTAGTTTTTTTAGCTCGGCATGACTAGGTTAAAGGACACCGAAACTGGCTTGACAAGGACAAGGCATCTCAGTCTGTGCATTTACAGTTTTTCTTTAATATGTATGCTCAAATGTGCAGTATGGTTGCATGATACAAGTGAATATACAGGCATATGATCACTTTGGGTGGCTAAAATATGCTATATTAGGGAATTATAGTTGGAAACAATGTGTGGGAGTACGGTGTTCGATTGGCAAAAGTAATCTGGATTAAGATAGGAACGACAAAATACATAAATTCTAGGTGAGTATATTTCGAAACTAAGCTGATATTCAAAAAATACATAAACACAAAAAAAGCAGACGGATAGTAGACGAAGGACGCTCAAAATGAGATGTAAAAAAGGATACTTACTTATCTCGAAATACACGAAATATTTGAGCAGGCTCGGCTCTGAACTTTAATTCAATTGATGTGAAAAGGCAAATGAAAAACGGAAAGTAACTAGGTTGACTAAGAGATGAGAACAGAGAAATAGGAATAAAGGGAGATGCACCACACTGAAGAAGAGTCTCAAATGGAGAGTAGTCGGGAAATAACTAAACTAAACTAATTAATTATAAAGTATTCCAAATAGGCAAGTTTGTCGGACAATTTTAGTTGGACGGACATAACCCTTCTGTCTCTGATCCTACTCTGAATCCTAATATACATTCACTTTCCATTCCGCTTTCGGTTCCTGGAGCATCCAGACCTTACAATTTCCGGCCGAATTTCAATCCCGTTTATCTAACAAGCTACGATTAGAAGTTATGGCAGACTTTTTGAAAATTTCTTTTCATCGGCGACGTTAGCCTCCGACTCAGAGGCATAAGGCCTGAGAGCTCGCGAAATTAACGACTTGTCCTCCATTTTGCCAGTAATACTAGATAATCTGCCTTTGGAATTTAAGACCACATCGGAGCTTGGGGCAGAAGTGGCAGAAGAAGCAACAGGTATATGGTGGCGGAATGACGATCTTAAAGAAGCTGAAGAACCGCGAGAAGAAGATGAATATGAGGAGACAGAAGACGAGGGAGTAGAAATTGAATGAAGCGAAGACACTCGTCGTTGCGCCACTCTGATAGAAATCACTTCACTAGTTGGCGCATGGATCTCCCCATAGGCGCGATCATCTGTAGATTGCATAAAAATGCTGTGCATTAAGCTCTTTGTTTCAGCTGAAGTTTCAAGCGGTAGAGAGGCTGGAGAGGAAGAAGTAGGCGAGACGAGAAGCCCTAATTGCTGATGTAGATAAAGTTTTGCATCAGGCACCGGATTAGCAACCGAAGAGGTGGAGCTGAAACAAAGAGGGCTGTCAGGGCGGTCAATTCGCTCAATTTGTGGACTGGTCGGCGTGGCTGGTGAGCAGGTCGAGAAGCTATGCTGTCGAGAAGGAAGAAAGAAAATAGCCCCTGGCTTGGAGTCTTGACACTGAGAATCAACACCAGTGGTACTCTGGGGGGCTGGTTCAGAACAGTCTGATTGTGGCCTTGGAAGCCAGTTTGTCATTCGATGTAGTTTCAATGAATGTAGCGGCTGTCGATACACCTCGTGCTGCCCTTGTTCTGACTGTTGTTGCTGAGACTGCCGTCGTCGACCGTCATGGAAATGCTGGTGCTGGTGGTGACGGTGATGAGAACGACGGTGATTATGAGATTGTAAGTTGCGATGCTGATGCTGCTGCTGATGATGACGCTGTCGATTCACCGAGTCGGCATGCGATTTCGGATGGAGCAGACGGGAACCAGCGTCACTAATGCCTATAATATATATTTAAAAATCATAACATAAGAAGAGTTGCGAAGAAAAGACCATAAGAAATTTGATCTATAAAAGTGCAAAAATGTGACAGTCGGCGGCTAAATTTAAGTTAATGTGGGAACAGTAATTAATTAGGAGATAGGTGAGAGACCAATCTATCAATGGATAATCCTTCTAACAGTTCCATCATTCTGAAGCCCCCAGTTGGAAATAAATAGTGGAAAGAATAGGGATATTATACCATGATAAGACCAAGATGTTGTGGCCTCTATTTTGTTCGCAGGCTCCTTTCGATGTATAGATATGGTCTGATCCCGTTATCGCAACTTGGTCGTGCTGTTAGGGCGACTTGGTTGGACTCACCTCGTCGGAAGTTCTTTGCTATAGTAGGCATCATATTTTCACGCGTCGGACAGTGAAGTTGGCACACTGTAAGACGTTTCGCCGGCATTGCAGTCGACAGAATACGTAAGCTTTGCCAGCCTCAGCAGCAAACTACAACTCGGCAAGGAGAAAAGTTAAGTCAATCCCTTGATCAACTTTCTGCCGAAACGGTCGTACTATCACTCCTTTTCTGTCCTGGCTCCCCTATCTACGCCATACTATCTTTTCTCACTCTCGCCATGTCACAATTTCTTGTTAATATTCTACTCCCCAAGAAATGTTCCATTTTAGCGAATTTGCCGTGGTGTCATTACACCTGCCGTTTGCCTAGCCCCCCGACGTTGCGAATGGCGGATCTGCAGCATGGGGAAGTAGAATCGTTGCTTAGCTTTCTAGTTAACCGATTTCGCCCGGTCCCAGCCTCAGTGTAGATTTTACTCCATACACTATTTCTCAACGCCATTCAGTTACACTTAAAATCTCGCCTCACCCGTAGAGCGTCAAGTCTCTGACTCCCATGCTTGTGGATATTAGGCATTGTCTTCACGCACCATCGCCTTCATTAAACCCGTTTACCTTGAGCAAACTGACCACATCTATAGAAGTTGTTTGATATTGTTTTCGCAACTTGATCATATTGGTAAGAAGACTTATAGGAACGCACCTAGTCCGGAGTTCATTGTGTGCATGACACTATAACTCGTCAAAGAGACAAGTGAAACCGATCCTTTGAGCAAATGTGTGCTAAACAATCATGGTATCTCTCCTTCCGCACTGGGCTAATTATCAATCCTATTTCCTCGTATCACGCCCTCACTATCACAATTTTTCCTTGTTTATTTAAATATAGTGTGGTGTGCCCTTTTGACCGGCTTTCATGAGGAACCCTCCACACTCCATGCTAGCGTTCTCACCCCCCTTCACCCTTTTGCTGGGAATGTCGATCAGAGTCTGACATATTGTTACGCAGTCCTCCTTCCCTAGGTCTTATCAGAGTCTCCCTCTTGTCCCGTAGGATCCGTCTGCTATCTCTGTAGTTCAAGTATTTCACTCGAACATTGCCACCCAATCTGTGCTACTCGAGGCGTTATTACCCATCTACTGCGTCTGGGTGACTGATTCGAGACTAAAGCCTCTGAATAATTCTCATGTAAAGCCGTTGCTGCATAGACTACATCTATTGTAAAATAGACCTACTGTCAGCCAATAGGTCTAGTCTTCGTCGAGTCTATTCTGTCTTTATCCCTAATACCAAGTCTATGACTTGCTATGCCCTAATCTCTTGTGTGCAACCCACAAATTTTGTGGTTATACTTGCTTTGATTAAGTTCAATGTCGCCTTTTTTCCAAGGATATCAATGTTCTCCCTAATCTTCAATTTCTTTGTTTTTTTCACCCTATAAGCTCCTTCTTTCTGTGACCCCCCATTTGATCTTGTGTCCATTCTGTGCGATGTGTCCCGCTACCTCTGATCTTTAGGTATAGATTTTCCTGAAGAACCTTTAATGTTCCTTGATTCGTATGCTAATTTTTCTCCAAGTTTCGCCAATATATTTATGTTTGTAGACTCCGCATGGTATGCAGTAAACTCTTGAGTAATGCAATTTTTATAGGGAGACTGTGAAGAGTGTTATTTTTTCCTTTGTGGTCATCAGCATAAGAACTCTCGTGTGAGGTGTATTCACCCTATTTCATTTAAGGTAATGAAGGACTGGTCGTTGAATTTTCTCCCAACGATATGAACATAACTGACGTTCTCATTGAATTTCACATAACCTTGCTTTCCCCAAAGTTGTTCTCATCCAGAATGGACTGCAGTTTCGACTTCGCCTAGGTCTTATCAACGGCTCCAGCGGGCGTCAATGGAAACGTCAACTCTACTCATAGCATTGTGGGAAAATTCAACTATCCGTCCTTCATCACCTTAAACGAAATAGGGTGAATACATCTCATAAAACTAATTTAGTGGTAGTCTCAAAACTCTGCTTATAAACGAAAAATAAGTTGTGTAGTCGATTGTAATAGCAAATATAACTGTGCTTCATCGACATTCTCCCCAAAGAATATGATATGGGAAAATGTCTGGCCTTCGTAGAAATTCAAATCTGCCCTGTGACCCAAGGGCACTCGTGGCGATGTGGCGTAGTAGTTAACGTGTCGATCTTACACGCTGCACGGTCACGCTAACTCCCACTGGGGGTATTGATAAGACCTAGGCGAAGTCGAAACTATAGTCCACTCTGGATGAGAACAACTTTGGGGAAAGCAAGTCTATGTGAAATTCGATGAAAATGTCAGTTATACCCATATCGTTGTGGGAAAATTCAACTACCTTAAACGAAATAGTGTGAATACATCTCATATAACTGATTTACCTGTCCCGAGTCAGGTGCGAGGTCAAACCATATATATACATGGAAAAGAGACTGCGATCGTATCGATGTTTAAATTAATTTAGATGAATAGCAATTTCCATAGAAGCGTTAAAATTAAAATTAAATTGTCTGAACACCTTGTACATTTATTGCTAACTTTAATAAAAAATTTTGCCTTTTAGGATGTGTATATTGTTGGGGATACTTTTACTTGGTTTTAAAGTGAATGATGAAGAGAGGTTAAAAAAAGGCTTAGGAAAAGCAATATCAGGCTATACGAACTAATTAAAAACAAAATCAGGATTAGATATGTGAATGTTCTTAAGTCACAGGATATGGTTGAGGG